CCTCCGGCTCGTCCCCCCCTTACCTTTCCGGGCGAAGCAGCACGGGCGCGGGCCAGGGCGTCGAGGCGGGCGCTGTACTGCGTGAAGCGCTTCTGGTAGCGCAGCGCCGTCACCTGCAGCTCCAGCTGCGCCGCCGCCAGTCGCGACAGCAGCGACTGCTCCCGCTTGCCGGCTCTCAGCGCCTCTTTCTTCAGCGCCTTCTCCAGCGCCGCCGCCCGAGCCTGCAGCGCGGCGCCGTGGGCTCGCAGGGCCCGCAGGCAGCCGTGGCCGCCGGCCCGGCGCTCGCCGTGGGTGAGCACCAAGCCGCAGCCCTGCTCGCACAGCCCGGCCGGCCGCGCCTCGCAGCGCTCCCGCATGTGCTGCTCCACGTCGCGCAGGTTGAGCACCTGGCGGCAGCCGCGGTTGCGGCACTTGGCCGGCGAGAAGTCGCACGTCTCGGCGTGCTCGCCCAGCTGCTGCAGCGGCACCACCGCCTCGCAGCCCCGCGCGTGGTTGTCGCACTTGATGTCCAGCTTGAGGATGAGGCTCTTGAGGGGCAGGACGTGGTTGAGCTCCTTGGTGGAGATGCGCTGGCAGTTGACGGGGCAGCTGCCCTGCTGCACCACCCAGGGCAGCACGCAGCCGGCGCAGAACACATGGCCGCAGGGGGTGGTCAGCGGGTCCTCCAGCACCTTGTTGCACAGGTTGCACTTGAAGTCGGGGTCCACGTCCCCGCTGAAGCGATCCAGCTCGAACCCCATCCTCCTTCCGCTCCGCCGGGAAGCGAGCGCACGGCGGCAGCGAGCGGAGAGATGCACGGGCGTGAGCCCGCCCGAAGCGGCACGGGGCAAAGCGCAGAACCCGCGGCAGCCCCGGCCCAACGCCCGGCACAGCGCCCTGCCCGCAGCCCCGCTGCCCCCACCGCTCCCGGGCAGCGCCCGGCCCGGCCCCGCCGCTGCCGCCGCCGCCGCCGCGCTCCCGGGCGCCGCCTGCGCAAAGCCCCCGCCCCGCCCCTCGAGGCCACACCCACCGGGGCCCCGCCCCTCGAGGCCCCTCCCCGCCGGGCCCCTCCCACCTCCGCGCCCCCCCCCCCTTCCTGTAGGGGATCACCTCACGACTTGGCTGTGCACGACTTTAAGGGGTTTTTGCCCTTTTTTAAAAGAATTGTGGCAGAATTGGGGATTAAAGTTGTTGGTTAGCTGCATCTGGACACCACGCGCAGCCCCTGGCCGTGGCAGTGACACTCCCCCTCGCTGTGGGACTTGCTGGTTATGGGGCCACATTTGTTGGGTATGAGCAGTGCCCAGGTGTCCTCTGTGTGCTCCCCAAGCCTTGGGGACAAAACATCAGTGTTTGTGCCACTCACCGTGCCACAGCGCCACATCCTGCACCCCTCACCTGGCCGCACGGCGCTCTGCTGGGCACCCACGCTCTGGTGGCCATAGCCAGGGCGCCCGTTCCTCTCTGTGGTCCCACATGAGGCAGAGCATATGAGAGCACTCACTGTGGACACCTCGTCTGAAATAAAGCCCCAGGCCACACGGGTTGAGGGTGCACGGAGAGATCTGAGTGCTGCAACCCATCAAGCCGCTGTCTATGGCTTGTGTGATGGGGCAATCCGTCAGTGCAGCGGGGAGATACCTGCTCCGGGTTGGAGCCCCTTGTGACCACCATCACACCACCTCCGTTACGTGAGCGTATAAAGTGCCTCTGGTGCTCAGGACCATGCTGGAGTACCTAGCAATGATAATACTGCACTGTCTTCAACGATAGCTTGACACAGGTGAGGCTTTGGTGATACAGATCTGTTGGTACAGGATCCCTGAGGCCATTCCTTGCCAAGCCAGAGGCAGAGCTTCCACCGATTTCAGTGAGTGACACCAGTACCGGTGTCCTCACGCTATTCGGAGCCCTACAAATATTTGGATGTAAAATACAGGCGAAACCTCTCATAACGTTTTCATTTGAAGTCATGGCTAGGCAGCTGCTGCGCTGAGTTCTGCGACAGGCTTTAATGGGATGTTTATGGAGGAATTGATTATTTACAAATGAAACATGATGGAAGCCTTTGAAGGCCTCTGCAGTGCAGTTGGGCAGGGGTTGGGAACACTGACAGGGAACCGAAGTTCCCCTCTCCCTGCTGCCGCTATCCACGGGAGGAGGCACAAATGGAGCTTTCCCTGCTGGAGGCACATTGCAGTTCCCCCTTGGAAAAAAGAAAGTTTAAGAAGCAGTCTCTCCGCAGGAGCCTTTAATGTTATTTTCAAAGGCTGAGGTTTGAAACTGAAAGGCGCTTTGGTTTCCAGGGTATTGCCAACGGGGCTGAAATTACATTGCCACAGCCAAGGAAGGTCGTTCATGTTTAGTCAGCTCTGCTGTCACCAGGGCTCTGCCTCTTAACTTTGCTGGCCTGTCATAGACAGGGTAAAGGCACATCATTTTTGTACTTTGCTATATAGCATGGACACAAGTCTGGAAGGTCTGCAAAACTCTTTTTTTTTTTTTTTCCATCAGGTTTCATTCAGTCTGCATTTTTTCTGCTGCTGTGAATTTCCCAGTCTCATGGAATATCAAATCGTTCGGAGATACTGATTCTGTTCCTGTTCATAAAGGTTAGCATCATTTTACTCTTGGTTATGAGATCTTGTAAGGAACCTGTTTTTTATTACATCAGTCTACCTTAAAAAAGTAGAAACCAAATAAACCCACCTCAATCCTTTCTTTTTACTGCTGGTGGAAATATAAGCTTGCATTAATAGAAGAGCTGGTGAGAGAGGACCAAACGAGATGTCAGTCTTACAATGGTAGAGCACAGTCAGCATCACCCACTGTATAGATGCTGCATAGTGATAACGACTGAGATGACACTCTCATAAAGTATTTGGCAAGAGGGTAGACTCTGCCTTGGCAATTGAGCTAGAATTTCACAGTACAAGCTGAAGGTTGATGGAACAATAGAGCGGATGCTTAGAAGGTAATCATAGACCAGCAACAGATCACTCTGCCCCAAAAATTTGAATCAATCACCATCTTTCAGAAGGAGTGTTTGAGCAAGAAGTAAAAGATAGCACCCAGCAGAAACACAAACATCCTTTCCTGCGGTTCTATACATACTTTTGTGGAGCTGATTAGCAGCTACTTACCTGCCTCAGAGATCTGGCTGTTCTCAGACAGGTAGGTGAAAGACTGGCATCATCTGAGCCAATCTCATAACTTGCTTCCTCCTCCTCATCTCTTCGCCTAACTAAGGTCATAGTAATGTTTGTATTTTATTTATGAATGATACACAGACAAGGCCCAGAAGAATGCTGGCTATAAGCACACGTTTCTAAATTAAAATGGAAAGAGAGAAATACAAGATAATGCTCTTACTTCAGGGCCTTTTAGGAAATGCGTTCAATCAGTCATGTTCAGTGCTCTCTGTCCACATCATTATCTTAATTCACCACTACCATATCTGAGAGTTTTGAAGTTATTTATTGTCCTTTTTGTTATGAACACTGCTCTGTGTGGTAAGGAGAATTAGCTGTGTTCTAATGGCTTTTTTTTCTGGGCCATTCTTCACTTGATGTTGAGCTAGCTTTGGTGAGCAGTTGCTTTTTATGTGCAAGCCTGTGATCTGAGTACATGACCGAGGCCCAGATGTGGCTGCTGCTTGCCTGAAGCTGCACGATGATTCCAAATTTCAGCGGAGGATACATCCCAGAAAGCATCCAGTCCTGTGCTCTGGCCTGTGACCACAAATGCTGCATCTTTGAAATTCCCCAGCAACACAAAAACGTGCAGCAGGTATCAAATTATGATGTAGACACCACATTCAGTACTATATAATTTCTTTGTCTTTTCCTCCCTTATTTGAACATTTAGAGAGAGAGAACTGTCATTATATATGCCTAATTCCCTTTCACACATCTTACATGCTGTAGCTAATGATAATGTTTAAATCCAGCCTGTAGTTAACTCGATGGTAATGGGTGGGACATAAAACACAAGCTGTAATTAAAAGGCATGTTCTGGAGGAGTTTGTGCAGTGAGTGCAGCGGTAGTGGAGATCAGCCAGCGTCTCGGAGAATGGGTGTCCTGGAGTACTAGTGATTGCTCAGCATCTTTTCCCTTTCTTCCATGCTCACAGATGTTGTGAACCTGCCAGGTAGAACTAACGCATGGCATTTTGCATGGGTGTGTTTTGGACCAATTGAAATGGCAAATCCAAGAGTGTTTCTACTCATTTTCTTACATTTCTGAAAGTCGTGAAGTCCATTTGCTCTTAAAAATGTGAAAAATAGTCCTATTTTCAGTAGGGGGATGGAAATGGATTTACTTTTCATACTGGCAGAATGAGTGTGAATAATGTGGAGCGTTCTGTTCTCTCCACTGGATTATTGCAAGATGCTTTTGTACAGCTTCCAAAATAAACAGTTCTTAATACTTGCACAAGGTGTATTTGACAGGTAGGCTTTTGTGATCATCCACTATTTGTTAGGTAAGCAGCTGCCCTGTTTATATATTTACAGCACTGTTTAAATTTTTATAAGCCAAGGAATAATTCCCATTTAAAACGTATGTGTTAGTTCAAAACCAGAAGCCTTCTGGAGATCCCAGTCTGTTAAGTAAAATATTCTTCAATTCTGGCTCAGGTGAACCCCAAGAAAAAAAAAAGAAGGGTTGAGGAAATGTTATTTTCCCTGATGAGCACTACTTCAGGGTGTTGTAGAGACCAAAGCTCAATGTGGGTTCAGGAAGGGGGCAGAGCATCTCTGGATGCTGAGCCCAGCTGTTGTTGCTGGCCTCTGTCTCAGAAGTTTCCAAATTACTGATTGTCAGGAGCTAGGAGAGAGTCCCTGCAAACAGACCATGCTCTTATCTGTGTAAGATGAGTAACCCCAGCTGAGCGCTCTTAGAGACAGGATTCTGGGCTCTAATTTGATCCTAATTGAGCCTTTTTTTTTTTTTTTTTTTTTTTTTCTTCTTAAATAGTAAAGGTCTTTTTGAAGGTGGTGGTCACTTACAGAAGCCTTTTAGTTTCAGGGCTCTTGTATTGTCTGTGGAATTTATGTTGCTTTAGAACACACATTTATAAAAAGGAGGTTCCAATACTGAGAAATACCAAGTACAGATTTTAAAGAGTTACTTCATTGGGAATGGAGGTGGGATAAAGCAAAGCCATGGGCAGAGAGGTGTGACAGGCATTTGTGAAGTTAGAGCAAGGGCATGACAAAGTTTGCCCAGTGAAAAGGAGCAAATATGGTGAGTACCTGAAATGTATCACTTGGAAAAAGTTGTGTGCACTTTTAGAAAATTAATTAAAATTAATGTGCATGGTTTTAAGTACTGTAATAAAAATAAGCTTATTCTTTTTAAAAAGAAACCTTGTACAGTCAGGCTAGGATGAGCATCAAATTGCCTGTGCAGGTCAAAAATGGCTTGTTGTGGTCTGGGAAAGGTTGAGAGCTGCTCTCTAGTATGTGTAGTCTTCATTCAGTTTTATTTGGCTGCTGAATGAGAGCTCAGAAAAATTACACCATTTAGCTGATAAAAGGTTTCATATAAAAAGATTTTACATGACTTCTGTGTGGTGCGTTCCAACTGCTTATCTCTGCCTATGCAGAGTTGCACAATAACTTCACGATGACACTTTGGAGAAATAGTGAGCTTGAAAGATCACAGATTTGACGTGATAGAAACTGAAGATGTCTGTAGGAAACTTCCCACACCAGAAAACCTGAATATGGCAAGGGCTCTCATCCCAAAAACAATGTTTGTATTTCGGAGATCTTACATCAGTGACATTCTTGCCAGGGAAGTGCTGAAATCAGACAACTGTTAAGCCATTGTGGAAACCCCTATGTGCAAGTTACGATTTTAAAATGTGAAGTTTTCCTTGCTGATTTTCACATGGAGCTGATTCCATACTGCAGGAATTGCAGAGAAAGCCAGAACATCCTGGAGTTGTGAATCTTTACTTTCCAGAAAGATGTAAACCAAACTGTTCTAAAGAAAAACAAATGAACAGAAAAACCCTTTCAGGCATGTGAAGTGTGCACTGTGTTGTTTCATGTGGAAATACACGCCCTCACAAAACATGGGGCTGAGACTGATGCACATTTGTCTACGCTAACATGTTTTTTCTCATTAAAATGAGCCAACATTTACCCTTATTTCAAAATGATGTAAGCGAAGGGAGCTGTGTGTATTCTGGAAACCAACCATTCAGTTTAGAAGAAGGAAGCAGGTACATCTTATCTATTACACAGACCCAGTTTTGCTGCTAGGAGACAAGAGGTACTTATTTAAACAGGATTTGTTTTTCAAGGGTTCGCTGCCCTGAAGGTTGGAAAATTTTTCCACTTTGCATGATCAGAATCCTTTGGGAGCCCTAAAAGTTTTGAAGAGGCAAGGCTGGGTAGGTACAGGGACCCCCAAGGCCTTGGCAGTATGGCTGGCTCATGTAATTTCCTAACAGTGCAAAAATGTGGAGCATCAGAAACCTTTATGTTTGTGCTCTGAAAATCATCAATCCTGAGCGTAGTCTTACTGCACAAGATGCTGCCACCAACTCTATTCAAACATATTGTTAAATGTTAATATGCATAGCAGTCTAGCTGTAATGAGAAACATTTTCAAAACATTTTCTGTGGCCCTCATAACTGTTTCAGTTTTAGCATTATTTTTGTTTTCCAAATGTCTTGATCTAGATAGACAACTTCCAGATCCTTTCTTTTATTCTTTTTTCCTTGTGGTTTTAGAATACTAAGTATGCCCTGAAATTACATTAACATTTTAGACCAAGAGCAGTTTAGAAGTGGAGTTGGTGTTTCTAAGATCTTTTCTGAACTGACAAAGGTTTCAAAATGAAGAAAAGAAGAGTAACATCTTTATATTTTGTCAGTCTCTGCTTCATTTGCCAGTGACAGAATGTGAGCCTCACAGCAAAACAGTTTTAGAGATAAATAGTAGATCTGACTGAAAAATAAAGGCAGAATTTTCTGAAAGCTCCTTGAAATGTCAAATCTGTTCTTGCTGTAAGAAGTTAGATACAAATCGTTATGAGTAGATATTACCGACAGTTTATTTTACAATTTCTAAATTTTTTTCTTAAAGTTGTATGGAGGTAGTTACTTATATTTTTTCCTTCTGAGTAACTGTTTTTTTTTAAAGTATTGTTACCCAGGATGCCATGTAAAAACCTAAGGAAAATATTTTATCTGGAAAATGAACAAATTAATTATGATAATAAAGATAATGCTATGTTTGAAAATTGTCCTTGTTTTGTTTTGCTTAATTAAAAGATATTAAGATAAAAATTGTCTGAACATTTTCAGTCACGTCTAGTAGTATGAAGGACAAGTCACTATGAGAGTTCAGGACCAGTTTTCTTATTTTTGTGTTTTTAGGAGGACTTATGCATGAGGCTGAAATTTCTGATATAGAGGAGAGAGGCTGGTTTGGAGCAGAGGACTGGAGTGGATAACCAAGTAAGTCAATTTTGAAATGAGGATTGTGCTCCACACTTAGCATGTGACTAGTTTTCCTTTGACTAATTTTCCTTATCTGAGGCATGTGAGTGGGATTGGCAGCCACGGTCCTAAGGTGCCAATCTCCCAGGCCTACTGTGTGCCTCCTCTGGAGCAAGCCTTCCTCCCGAGAGGTTGTGGGGGTGAATCCTTTTAGTTTCACACCCCAGGTTTTCCAAAAAATGTGTTGACATGGCTGTATCCAGAATTAATTGGTTAGAAAAAAAATGAATTGCCCCAGTTTTATACTTATCTGTGAAAATTGCCATTGACATCACAATAGGAATAAAATTTTGAAAATGGTCTACATAGCATTTCCACAGGTCTTCCCTCTCTCCTGCAGCTTGTGTTCTTCACGTGTAGCTCAACTAGGAGGCTGAAAACTTGGCACTTTATTTAGGATAAAGGCTCCTCCCAAACTGCAGAGAAGCCTGCTAAATATTGGAAGAAGATCTAACTAGCAACTAGTACAGAGTGTTATATGATTGGTAACAAATCCCTTTCTGTAGCTGTTTGCTGCTGCAGGCTATTTTAGGCAGATGATTGTTTTCAGTATAATGGCTAACGCTGTATGTTTGTACATCGCTTTGAAACAATGACGACATTACGAGATTGCTCTCATACCTACTCTTTGTTTTCCGCAAATTCATTTTCCATTACACAGCATTTATAAAGACTACAACAAGAACTTTCCATACTCTATTTAAAATAACTGTTCTTATGAGAGGACCTTGTGCAATGAAGTCAGAGAGACTTCGCCTATGGCACATATGGCCAGGGCAAAAACTTCATACCATTTACAAGCTATAACTGTGACACCCTGCATCCTGCATATTCAAAAATTTGCTGTGGGGACCTTCGTGACATTTGCTACTTAACCAGCTGTATATTGGGGATGGGAGGTGCTTTTCCATCCTTGTCCGCTGTTTGCTCATCGGAACCGTAGCTGAGAAACCTTATGGGAAGAGCAGACGGGTTGTGTCTCCCTGAGACATGTTTATATAAAGCCACTTGTTGCTCTGCATTGTGTTTCTGGCTATAAGCAGTCACAGTGGATGTATACTGCTGCAGACCCAAGTAACTCCAACTCCAGAGCCTGTCCCTTTAGCCCCAGTCTCTGACGACCGGATTTATTTGGTTCTGAAGGCAGGTATTATCTCAATATGTGTTTTTATATTGCAATAGCTTTAGGTCTTCAGATACATTTTTCATTAACTACTGTGGAAATTTAATTTATTTATTTTTTTTGTAATGTAAAGATAAATTTAGTAAAGTTCATACAGAAAATTGGATTGACTGTGGAAAAATCATCAGAAAATCATGATATAAATAGTTGCTTTATAGATTAAGTTTGACAAAGTAGGGTCTAGTGACTGATTTAAGTCATTGAATAACAAGATAGAAAGTAATGGAAAAAGCCAAAGGTAACAGCCTTGATGGTCGAGTTAAATGATTTATCTGACTATAGCTTTTCTAAAGGCAAAGGTTAGTGTACTGAACTGGTGGTAGGAATTATTTCAAGTTACCAAAATTTGTTTAAGTTGCACATTTGCCATTCCCTTAATATCATGCTCAGTCAGTGCAGTATTGACCCCTCCTGTGTAAAGTTAGCATGTGGGCAACTTTCAGGAATTTACTGGAGACAGACAAATTGAAATAGGATGGCACCATTCAGACCAATGGCAAAAGTAAGGGTAAAACCTAAGGGTAAAACCCTTAGGTCATAGATTTATTTTTTATGTAGTTGAATACTATGATTCACACTTGTATATTTTTCCCAGCATTTGATAAGGCCTGCATTTTTGAGATCATGCAGTCTTGTCTCACAGATGCTAACTGCTAAATTACTTCTCATGTAGGAAACAGTATTACAGCTAGCAATTATTTGGGCATATAGATCCAAAAAGCATTTTTCTCCCTTTTGCACTTATGTCTGTCTTTCTTTATCTGCATAGCCTGCCTGTAGTATGTTTTCTCATACTGCACTAAAATGTCACTTCTCTCCTTGTAGCTCTTTTCTCTCTCCCTTTATTTGTCCACTCATTTCCTTGTCCTCTCCTTGTTTCCTCATCTCACACTGTCTACCAGTGCACTCTGTATCTTTCCAACCCACGGCATCTGGTTTTACTTGGCTGTCCTTGGCAGGCCTTTTTTATTGCTCAAGGGGTTGGCTTCTTACTGGAATATACACCCTTCTGGGGCCTTGGATGGTAAATGTTGATGCTCAAACTGTCTGCACGCTGTTGGTGGCATTTTGCAGAAGTTTTGGGTCTCTTAACTTATGTCTGCCACAAAGGCAAAGGCTGTGTCTGCTCTCAGACACTGAACTTTCTGCATAAGAGACCAAAATCAAGGTGACCTGGGAAAAAAATAGAGCAGAGGAGCCTGCAACATATGGCCTACATACCTTTGAAAGTGGTGAAACTATACAGAAAACTTCAAAACAGGGAAATGGAGAGGGGTAGAGGCAGGTTCTGCGTTGGGGAAGAGAGGCGTATAATTATATTTAAAGTAGCTGTGAAGAAGAAATCTTTCTCAGGTGATACAGTCTGAGGAGACAAGTGCAAATCTAGTGAATATGAATTGTGCTGCTCAGCTCCGCACAAGAGAGCGCAAGCAGTTTTCATAAAAAACAGTGATTGCATTTTTGAAAATTAGCAAAAACTAAATTTAGTCAACAAGAGGCCAGGAGAGAGGGAGGTAGGATACTGGCAGAGTGCTTGGAATGTGTGCACACAGTGATGCCTCTCATTTGCAGCTGGAAGCCTCAGCTTGGTGGGAAGAGTAAGGAAGGGAGCTGATTATAGAAATAACACACAGCTTAGTCTTGTGCTTTCCTAGCAAGAAATACTGCTACAGTGTAATTCTGCTTTAGCATTGATTTATCTGGGAAATAAATTAGCTTCTTTCATTATTATTTGTTGTTGATTTTTTTCATATGGCTCTACTACTTCACTGTTATTTTCCCATACCATTTTCCCAGCATGCCTTCAGAAATATCAGAAAATGCTCACAAACAGTCCAGAAAAGTGCCAGCTAAATATTCCACAAAGTGCTTGTGGATCTTGTGCAATGTTTCCCCTGGTCTCTCCCAGCTGTTTTTTAGCATTGATCTAATATTTCCCCCATGAGCAGTTAGCATTTTTGTGACATTAAACGTAGGGGGGAGGTTGCGTTTCTACATATGAATAAAGTAACTGCTTTGGCTTTTGGATGAAAATAAGGGTCCACTGTTCCTCTCCACCAAAAATTGCTGCTCCATAGTGCTTCTTAAGGATTTGGGGTTTTGGGGGGCTTTGGGGTTGTCTGTGGCTTCTCCAAAGGAAATAAGGTACAGTTGGTATTGTAACTCAGACTACTCCAAATGCACTGCATACATTGCCATTCAGATCTTACCTGTCTCAAATTATTCCCTGACTATTGTACCATTTTTATAGGGCTAGTGGATCTCATAAAAGTGTTCCAGGTAGATTTCATATGGTCTTAATGCAATGTTATAAGGAACTATCCCTTATCACATATAATGAGCTCTTCCTGCTAGAATACTTGTACTTCACTCCAAGATGTCACTTCTATTTGGACTAGATGGGAAACTAGATAAAGACTTGTATGGATACAGCATGCAGAGGTAATAAATAGAGACTGAAAAATGACAAACCATTATAACTGTATGTGGTATTTAAATAAAATGAGAGGTCAGGGTGGAATCCCTGGCTGTAAGTAGTATCTGCAGACTCATAAAAAAATCTTTATGATCAAGAATTAGTGTTGACTTTAAAAATGACTGGCACGATCTCTTTTTTTGCAGTCATCTTTATTTTGGTGATTTGCTTTTTTGTTTTCAGCACAGATTAAGGAGAGAGAAATAATGACAAGGCAGGCTTCAAGGCTCAACATTTGAGTTCCTTAAATCAATCGAGAGAGACCGTTGCTCCAAATAGAACTAACTGCACACATATATCATTATATAAATGTTTGAGAGATACTATTGGGCTGAAACAGTATCTCAGACATTATTTCTAAGATTTATTGTCTGGGAATCTGCACAGTATTCTGTAGAATTTCTATTATCTGTATCGGGCCATGATCAGCTTTAATTGGCTGACAACATCTACTGCAGCATGTTTTTCTTGCTATCTACTTAATCCTAGCAAGAATAAACCAGTCTCTGGAAATGGCAGGCTTGTGAAAGAAAACACCAGTCTTTACACAAACCAGACTTAGGGTTCATAGAGAGGGGCGCCCTTGTCCTCGCTAGGTGAAGTCGTGGTTGCAAGAATGACCCATGCCAGCACAGGGAGCACCTTTGTTGTCTTTGTTCTGGGATGAGCTGAAATGAGACTTCAAAGTTCATTTGTCTCCTGCTGTGCAAAAAACGTGGAAAAAAGTACCTTTTTGTGCTACTGACAGTGTTTGAATGTCCCTGGGCTTTAAGAAGCACAATGTATTCCGCAGCAGTCACTGTGCATTTCTTGTTCGAGGTTGATTTAGTCCGGCTTAGTTTACTGTTTGCATGCTTTGACTTTTTAATTTATTCATTGCGAACATACAGCTGAGAAGATCCAGGTTGCAGATGAAACTGGGATGCTTAAATAAGAAGGCATCTGTTCTGCACAGCTACAGGGCAATGGCAACTTTGTGAGTTCACAGTTGGTGTTCACATTTCACATAAACGAGTTCACATTTAGATCCTCCCTTAGGGAGCTGTTTGGCATCCTTATGTAAATAATAAGGCCTTCCTTGCCCAGAATGGGCTTCTATCCCAACCTGGCAGGCATCTTACATGATCTGTGGAAGTCCAAAACAACCGTGTGAAGGACCTACATCCCCATATAGCTCCTCTGCACCTCGCCTAGAGCCCTACAACTTCCCTGTCATCTCTGCTGCTGCCCTCGTGGGTAGCAGCCGTCCGCGCCTTCCCGCTGCTCGTTCACTGTGAATACACTGGGGCCAAATGATGACTGGTGATGGGTCAGAGTTCCTGCAAGCAGTTCAGCAGTTTAGTTACTTAATAATTAACTGGCTAGACTTGCCCTAAGGAAAAAGCCTGTATGACTAATTATTTTAATGGAAAAAAATACAGTCAACAGGAAACAACAGCATTAGTTTGGGGGGGGCTGCCCTTGGCTGATGTATTTTAGGTGGTTTGAAAAGCAGGAGGCAGGAAGGAGGACAAAAAAAAAAAAAAATAAGAACAGATCACCGTGCAGAAATTACGTTATTGCAGAATCGGAGCGGGAGTCTGTGAGTGGTTGGTCCTGGGTAGTGGCTGCCACCAAAGCTTGAAGGAACTGTTCTACTTCTGTGAAATCCTTGCACTTTTAGTGCAAGCCTGAGCAAGGCAGGCCTTCCTACAGCATCTCTTGTTCCTTATATGAGTCAGCTAAGAATTTTATGTGACAAATGCAGAGTATTTTGATATTTTTGAGTATTGTTTTAACATTTCTACCAGAGCTAAGATACTGTTCCTTCAAACAGATGCTATGTTCATATCTCAGCACTGCAAAATAATTAACGTCTTGTTTCACTCACTGGAATCAAGGTCAGGCACCCTCACAGACTGGGGGATTTTTGTTGTATGGAAGAATACATGCATGTGTAGTCCAAAAGCACCATACTGGGGTGCAGTGATACTCCTGGAGAACATGGCTTGCAGGAATGGGAGAGCAGCACCTGAAGAGTGAGAACTCAGAAACAATTTTGTTTGTAGACCTGGATAACAAGCTGTGAGAGGTATCTTTTAATAATTCAATGGAAATTTTTCATTCAAGTTTTCTGACAAATATTTTTCACGCAGGCATGCTTGTGGTGATTAAAGGATGTACTGACTCTGCTTGGATGTTTGTAATGCAGTTTAGGTCCTTCTGTTGCTGAAGGAAATGAATACGTTATCATTTACCACAGGTAACTGATCACTTAATTGCTTCTCCTGAGCGCCTTCACTGAGATACCCTGTGACTTGTGAAACACTTAAAAACGGCATGTATACTGCTTATCTTGTCTGGTGGTTGTACACCAGCTTTGTATAAGTATATATGTGTTCCTTTTGGACTGTTCGGTGTAGTAGGGAGTGATTTTAAATTGGGTTGAAAGTTGTATCACACTGTTCAAGTAACCAGTTTGTCCAGGGTGGCAAAAGGCAGTAACTTTTAAGGCAAAGTTATTTTCCATCTTTTATTAGATCAGTTAGTTAGAAAGAACAC